TCTTCAACTTAAAGAAGCTTTGCTGTGGAATAAATTTGAATGAATCAAACCAGGTAAAATTTTTTACATTTGTCATTCCCTCATGTCATTTTTTAGAGTAAAATAAAATACAACTTCATCGAGAAAGTGGATAATTATATGTTGCTTTCTTGTATGAATATAATTGTATGTGATTGACTTCAGAAATTTATTTGGCCTAACTGTTATTTTTAAATTTTATTGAATTCGTCATTCCCTCACTAGTGTATAAAGTGAGGAAATGACGCTGAAGTGAGGGATTCAAGATGAGTATATTATCAAATTATATTTTGTTCAATCGTGCCAGCCAATTTTATTTCCCAAATCTGTAAAAACTATTGAATATATAAGACTAAATTATAATAAATTTTAGATATACTTAGTATGTTATCATTTTCAAACTTTAGGTTGAATTCCTAGATAAAAACATGTATTAAAATAAAATATCATTCCCTCAATATTAGTGTCATTCCCTCACTTTTAAATAGTGAAAATAATTAATTTACTTATTAATTAATTTGAAAAATAAATTAAAAAATTAATAAATTTATTTATTAAATCAATTAATTAATTATGAATTATTATGAATTAATTAATTACAAATTAATTACTAAAAAATTAATTAATTTAAGTATTAAGTATAATTTATAGGATATATACTTTCTTTATAATGCCATTACATATTTCTATTAATATAAAAAGTTTCAGAGCTTTTTATTCACTTTACTTTTTTGGGATTTTATGAACTGAAAAATGACAGTTTTCGTGAGAATAACCCATATATATATTAGTTCCGTCCCGTCGTTACACACTTCCCATTTTGCTTAGTTTAATAAACTATAGAGTACCAAATAAAATTTCCATTTTTCAACTTATGTCTGTTTTTAACTTTAATTCAATTTACCAGGCATATAATTTTTTTTAGTATTTAATTTGAAAAAAAAAACGCTTACCGAACAGATGCTTTTAAAAAAGGGTTTACTTTTGTCGAATGAACCAAATTATTTATATAAGTTCATTACAATTTGTAATTCAAAGCATAAAAATTAAAAGAACTAAAATTTATACAATAAATTTTAAATATTTTTAAAGATATATTGGATACAGGTAGTTATCAATCTCTTTTCCTCAAGAATCTGATCACATTGCGTCAGCTCTCATGGTTGAAATGTTTCATTTTATTGTATCTTGTTTGTGGATTTACTTTTTTGAATTATGCTTAAAAGGCACAACTATAAAAAAAACAAGCACGTGGTTTCAGATAATTTTCGGAATACTAATTCGATAGCATAGCATTCACATGCTATCTACATTGATCACTCAGGCTCTAAATATTTTAACATTAACAAGTGTAATACTGCCCTAAACAGAATATTTAATAAGAAATGCAAAAAATCAAGCATTTCTCCCGGATGAACTGATTTTTTGGATCAGAGGCTGAAATTGCACCTTTTAGTGGATGTTCGAATTTCAGAATGCAAGCAAAAATAGTTTTAGAGTTATAAAAATTCTTTATTCCATTCTAAAACAACGGAGAAACTAAGATACTGATTAAACGCAAAAGAAAATTTGAAAAATGGAATTATGCAATTATTTTTTTAATTCTGCCTTTTAGTTTGTGCCTGATTGCCGAATGATTTATTCTAATACGTTTATTGGCTAATTACTATTTTTTAAAAATAGTTCAAAGTACCAAATGAATTTTTTGACAATTTATTATTATTTTTTCAATTTAAATTCAACTCACCTTACATATTCTAGCCTTTTCCTTAATAACATGTTCACCAAAGAGATATTTCTAAGAAATGGTTAACTTTTGTCGAATAAAATCAATTATTCACATTACTTCATTACACTTCGTAAATAAAAGATAAAAATTTATACACTGAAATTTAATTATTTTAAAGATATATTGGAAACAAGTAATCATCAAACTCTGTTCGAGAAGCTAATTACAGAGCTTAAGTAATAAGTCAGCCACCATGGCGGAAGCGTTTAATTCTAACGTATCTTAAAACAACGTGATTCCGTTCTAACACTGTCTATTATAAAATGTCAGGTCAGTAATTAGCATTGCAAATTGTCTTTCTATGAGTCATTTATCACAAAACCGACATCGTTCCGAGGTTTATTAGAAATTCTTGAGTGTGGATATGCAATGAGATTTAGTTTCAATGTCGGACGTGGCAGTCTAACGTCGCGCAACTCGTCGTTGATTAATGAAACTAGAAGTTCTTCCATCACATGATTATGAATGTCACTTTTAAAAGAGAAATGCGTGATTTGTTTGAGTTAATTTACAAACATCAAATGATGCGAAAAAGAAATTTACTATCATAGTTTCCTACACTATAAAAAATCACGGATCAAATTACCGTACAAAAGTACTGGCACTCTGAGTACAATGTTCATAAAATCCATTTTACTGTCAAATCCTGTTTACTGCTAAGTTTTATATACTAATTTTTACTGTAATATTTTTTTATAATCCTTCAATACTTTCACAGTAAATATTAATATTTCATTAATAGTATATTCGATAAATAATACGAATCTAACATTATTTTGCATTGTGTATGCAATTATAAATTTGGGATGCACGAACATTTCCCTCACTCATTTTTACAATATATCTAAACATGTCAAACATTCTTGCAACATATTAAACGTGCAATAAACTCATTTGTTGCTCAATGAGAGATATAAGCAAGAACATTTCACGGACTCTAACTTTAAAATCATTTGCAGTTTTATTTCTATATTTGGTGCTAGCTCTAATCAGATGATAAAATTCCATTTGTTAATGTTTCTCTGGTGCTGGCCATCCATTCAAAATTTGGAAAAGTTGTATTACTGTCAGATTCCCAGGCTGCAATCCAGGCAATCGGCTCGCAGGGAGACGCTTTGTCGGATGAAGTGCTTCAGTGTCGGAGACTTATCAAACTTTTGGCACTAATAAACAAAAGAGTAGTCATCCAGTGGATTCCCAGCCATTGTAACATCTATGGTAACGAGCAAGCTGACTTTCCTGCTCGCAAGGGAACACAAATCCTTCAGCCAAGTTTCTCTGGATTGTCATACCATTCCATGAAACTACACATAAAAAACATAATGAAAATGAATGCCCTTGCTGACCTACGAGAAAGCATAAGGAATAAGAACTGGAGGGAGACGGATATTAAGGCAGTACCAGGTAAGCCTCGACGAGATGCAGTAGCCACCTTTAGACTTTTAACAGGTCATGATTGTCTAGGAAAACACCTGTATCGTATAGGTATTTATGACCACCCTCAGTGCCAACTGTGTGGTTCTGGAGCACCAATGAATAGAGAGCACCTCCATTGTTGTAAGAGGCTCCACGGACTTGACTCGGAGACCGCAAGATATTGGCGTGGGAGAGAGCTTTCGGGAAGATGACTTCGGCCTTTTATTATTTTCTATTTTTATTGTTCCTCTGTGTTATTGTTTGTATTCCCTGCCATTGGAAATAAAAAATAAATGTTTCGCTGGATCGATATAATTGAAATGTTTCTACAATTTTCAGGAACGAGGACAATAACTACCACTTTCACTCACTGTCCAAATATTAGAGCATTAGCTCAAATGGTTCTGAAGTTATAAGTAGAACGCATGTGTACGTGATCTCACAGAGTCTCGTCCCTTAATTATGAAAGACAATTTTTAAATTTTAAATGTAAGCATCAGATTCTGTCTGTCATAATTTTTTTTTTGAATATGACTAATTAAGACAGACTACTGCTAAAAAGTAATTCATTTTGCATATAATTCGAGCACATGTTTTATTTTTTTTTGTTGTTCTTCGCTCAATAAAGAAAATCATAAATCTTTGTGACTGTTTTCCATAATTTTTCCCCCTGATCAATATATTTATGCATTATCCTAGTAAATCACCATTAAATTATAACAAAGCATTACATGAAGCAATTTAAAGATTCATTTGAGTAGTTCTTTTATATATGTTAAATGTCATTTCCAAATGACTCATACTTCGATTATTTATTTATTCTAGCATTAAATTACCAGTTTGTTTAGTTTCACAACTAAACTGAATAAAATTAGCTAGAAAAGAATAATTTTGAAAACGTTCTAATCATTAAAAATAACGATATCTGAGGGTGACATTCAAATAAGAATGTTGTCTCTGGTTTCTTAATAATTTTCTTCTACTTTAATAAATTGCGATATTTTGTAAAGTGACAAGCCGCTAGAAAAAGACAGAAAAAGCAAGAAAAATGAACAGGGCAATTTCGATGCTGAGGAAGTTTTGACAGAAGAGAACAAATAGCGCCATCTAGAAGACGACGACTTATGAATCATTAGAGAAGATCAGGGGACGGTTTATAAAATATGTTTCTAAGAAAATAGTCATTTAACTTTTTCGAAATTTTTTTTAAGAAATTGAACTCTGGGAACAAATTTTTTTTATATTGCGGAAGTCAGGTTTATTATTGAGTTTTAAGTTACACTTTATCGAAAAATAAAGTAATGAGCAATCTTATATAGAATAGCCTTTTATAACACTAAAAAAGAAGAAGAAGAAAATTTTTAAGTAATGGAATAAAAATATTTTATATTTTATTAAGATATTTAAAACGAGGTAAAATGACGACCCATTACAGAAGATTAAGATTTGATTTAGAATTTATTTAAAAAAATACCTTTCTTTTTAAAGAAAGATTGATTATTTTGTTTTAGAATATTATGTTATTAAAGAAATCAGAGATGCTTTAATAAAAATATGATGCTTTTTAAACAACATCGAAAGTACATTTATTTTCTATCAGAAAAGAGAAATTACGACAAATAGTGTTTTGTTTATTTTAGAGTGCTTTAAACGCTTTTCACTCCTCAAAGAATAAGCAAATTAAGAATAAACAATATAACATTCAAAGAATTTCATTTATTTATTTCCTTAAATGTAAACCACAATATTTTAAGTCACGATGACTCAATGATTAAAGCGGTAAGTTTTTTTTAAATATTATTTTAAAAACCGGCTTTAAACAAATGACCCAATTAAGTTGCCACAATGTTGCAATTTATCCCAATTCATGAAACAAGAGAATTCCTGGATCAAGCATTAGGATAAAGCAACTGACTCTCATGTGCGTCACGAGGAGATAAAAAACCACGAAAGCTTCTCACGGTTAGCCCTCGGACAAGATGATTCTAATGTATGATTCATCTACCCCTGTGTATATTTTATGTCAACACTGTTGTCGGTGTGAGCCATTAACAGAACTCGTTTCAACATCCCAACACTGTAATTCGAACCTGCGTCAAGTTATCGGAAGGCAAGTGGTCTATCACTAATGCAATGAGTTTTCATTGTAATGGAATGGGGTCTATCTTCTTCAGAAACCTGAAGTTTTTACCCGCTGTCAGTTCAATGTCTGTGTAGTATAGGCAACCATTGTGTAACATTTATCACATGCCACCATCTTGCTATTTACCTCGAAACAGTGATACCTTTACCTTTATTTTTTCACGGCCAAAAACAACAGCGGGTACGTTTTATCTGTTTCCTAGCAATATTTTACGTGCATGGATTTTATCTGCTTTCAATATTTGATTCTATATCAAAATATTCAGTGCTATTTTTTGTGCTCTTAAATTTATTTAGTTCACTAACACTTAACAATTAAAGCATGAAATGTTGAAAAATTATATTACAAAACAGTATAAAGAGCAAAAATGAAATAAGGAGTATGGTTTCTGCAAATTTTATACCAGGATTAAGTCTTCTTCAACTAAAAAGGGGATTACGTAGATTAATAAGCATATTTGCATGAAAAACCCGAGTGTTTCGCATTAGGAATTCTTGCCTGTTAAATTTGGCCCTTGGAATGTCAGTACTTTTTTAAAATAAATTCTAAAGTTATCGCAAAAAATTATTTAAGAAAAGAGGAAATATGAGTAAATAACACTCAATCATCACCAGGATTTGAACCTGCCTAAGTTGTTTAACCCGTTAGGGCACCAAGCTTTTTCCAGGCCGTTATTCAAAGTGAAGTTTTTCAATTCTAATAAAATATACTGGAAATTTTGCAGCGGTCATAGTAGTTGAGATGAAAATCAATTCCCTCTAATTACATTAATCTAGAAACCTTTTTACGAATATTTTTTGTAAGAGCTGAAAATCATTGTAAAAAGTGCGTTATACAATAAAATTTACCTTAATTTCCAAACTTTTTGCGATTTCATAAAATATGATTCGGACAGCATTTGTTACAGAAATTTTGTATTTGTGGCCATTTAAACATAATACATTACAATATTTATTACCTGTGAAATTATCAAAGAAACATCTAAGATTTCAATCTAATACAAATTATTGTTGAGATTTAAAGACTATAGTAATACTTCAAGTACAAAGAATATTTTCTAATTTATTTACTTTGAGTAGAAATATATTTCTAAGTAAGTTAATAATCAAGGGCAGATAAATATATTTTGAATAGAACAATTTCTGTTTGTGAACTTATAAAATTGCTTTCCAAAAAAGAGATTCCATACGAAGCAACCTAATAAATAGCCACATATTTATTTTAATGCTAATGATTATTAATACTTAACATCCTTAGTAATTCCACTAATGGGAGAACAAAGGAACTAATTCCCAATGAACTATTTATGTTGCTACCAAATGGCGAAGACAATTCCAGCCAAATATGTACTTATGCAGCTAAGGTCAATGCATTCTCATTTACTTAATTGCTAGGACGATGATTGGAAAAGACAATTTATGAGTAATAAACTCCAAAAACAATGAACCATGCCCGAAATAACACGACCGACAATAATGCTTGGTTTGAATAAAATACCAACCCCCCAATCCTACGCAGCCATGAGACAAAGTATAAGAGATAAAAAAAGATAAAAATCGAAGAAGAGGAAGAAATCACCTAAAAATAAAAAGACCAAACGATAGGCTAGAAATCACAGAATCTACTGAGAAAATGGAGAAAAAAGATAAAGTGATCCCTACGCTCTATGAAGTACATTCTTGGGGTATAGGGAGGGCCTAGAAGAATTGGTTTATATGATGATATTGAGAGGGAGGGACATGAGCGGCAGCTAATCATGTCTCGAACATTCGAAGTCCGGAGCCGTTTCTAAGCGACATGAAAGGGGTGGGCCCATTGACATGTGACAACACACATAGTGGAATTTCAAACAGTCAGCCGTTAAAGTTGAAGTCTGCTTGTATATTATAGACGTCTATTGGATGATAAGAAGAATCAATAAGAAGAAGGGTTTGAGGAGGGGGGTATAAAATGGATTTGGCCTTTTAAATTAAATTGTGTATCAGTTTTGAATTGGATATTTTCAAGCAGTGCTCATGGGTTGAGTCGCGTGTCTCAGCTATTGTAGTTTTATGTAAATGTTATTATAACTTCTGTAAGTTTACATATTTTAATAAAAAATAGTGTCTATTTTTTATAAACGGAATAAAATATATTAAAATACGAATAATTCAGTATTTAGGATAAAAAAAAATGTAAAGCAAGCGCCGTATTCATCACTCGAAATTCTTAAATGTATTACAGAAGTTAGTGTACTAAATAAATAAATTTGACGAGCCGGTATATTAAATAAATAAAAACATTTTATAAACCGGATTACCTATTGCAAACTATTTAATTTTCGTAAATTTGAAGTTACTGTAGTTTTTCGTTGCGACTCGTGACTCGATAATTTTGTCAGTTATAATAACTCCGTTAAAAGTTTTTTAATAAATAAAATATATTGTTTTATATAGATACATTTTTAAAATTAAAAAGTAAAACACATTTGTCCTAATTTACTTATTCACGAGTTTTAAATGTATTTCATATGTTTGTGCGCTATATGTAAAATCTAACATATTCAGTGTAAAATATAGAGTGAAATTAACTGTTGCTACTGGCACAGGGTGACTAAATATAACAAATGACGATTAAAAACTTTGTCTGTTTTTTTTTAATATTGAATTATGAATATTTAATAATGTTTTTTAAAATCACTTTATTTCTTACTTGTTTTTAAAAACGTTTCTTCATTTTAGAAATAAATCTTGTACTCTTTATCTTTTGAGATGTGTTTCAAAAGAAATGTTTTATATTATTGTATCAATAATTTTTTATTTGTTAAAAGTTTTAAATTCTTGAAAATTGAGTTAATGTTAAATGTGACTCAATTTTCGGATGACAAATAGATAAATGTCCTAATATTGACTATAAAGTGGAGTTTAATTATTTTCAGTTTGAAATTTTTTTGAGAGAATAATTTATACCCTTTCACCGCTTAACTATACATATGATACAAAAAAAAGTATACATACGCGACGTTATGTACAAAAAATCCATATAGATTTTTTTATTAATTTACAGTTTTGAAAATGCGATGTTAATAAATTGAACATTCTTTGGAAAATGAAAATTTAAATGCATGATTTTTAAATTTTTATTTCTCAGAAACTGATGTATATTGAGATGAAGATAAATAATATACTTTTGTAATCCCCAAACTTTAATGCACTGATAAAAGTATATTAATATAAAAGTATATTACCATATATAAAAATATATTACCATGTTTTATTTTTTAAAAAAAAGTTTTAAAAATTTTTGTAAATAGGCAAACAAAAATCTATTGTTTTATGAAGCATTAGTTAACAATGCATTAGAAAAGAAAATGACGTTTTAACAAATACTTAAGATTTCTTTTAAACAATACATATATTGACAATCGAAAATGCCTTTCTTTGGCATTACAGATTTTTTGTATCAAGTAATAAGTAAATTTTTTATATTCCAAGACACAAAATCCTCGTATTTTTTATTTTTGACCTTCTATGAATCGGTTCAAAGGAGAAAACTATGAATTCTCTGATATGTTTATTAGCGGTGGTCCATTTGAAAGGAGCATTTACAATCATCTTTCGGACGCGACTATTCGAACTGAAGACGGGAAAATTTTTAATGTTCATCGAGTGATTCTGAGCCAAATCTGCGACTACTTCCTTGCTGCATTTTCGAGTGAGTTTGGATATAAAGCAAACATAACACTAACAATAATTGATGGGGAAACTTTCAACGAAGTACTAATCTATTTGTACACGGGACACGCTTACTTAAATGCTGAGAATGTAGGAAACATATTGATGGCGGCTGATTATCTCCTTGTGGAATCCTTGGTCGACGAGTGTTGCCGTTTTGCCAGTAGAAATATCACAGTCGGTAACTGTCTCCAACTGTTTGTAATTGGCAACAGACTGCAAAAATATGAAATCAACGAACAGAGCTTGTGGTTCATCAGGATACATTTCAAAGATGTCGTAACAGCCTCTGATATCCCAAAATTACCAGTGGACTGCTTAGAGCTAATTTTGAGAGACATGTCCCTCAACATACTAAGCGAAGAGTCTGTTTGGAGAGTTATCGTGACATGGGTTGAAGAAGACGACTTCAGAAGATTTCCGCACCTACCAAAGCTTTTGGCGAGTCTCAGTATGCAGGAAGTCAGCGATGAGTTAGCAAACGATATAATGTCTCATCATATAGTTAGGAACAACCCATTCTGCTCTGCGCTGAATCTATCAAAAACCTTTGAACCTCGTCTTAGAGACCAGCAGAAAATTTCACATTTCACAAGAAGACATCAAGCATTTAACGCATACAGATGCCCATCGAAAATTCATTTCATCGTCGAGTGGAAATTCCAAAGAGATGGTAATATCGAATGTTACCTCACGTACAACAAAGAAGTCAATGTTTGGCGTAAGCTAGGTGAGCTAAATTTTTTTCCAGATTCCATTGTCAGTGTGGGCCACTTCATCTGCATGTTCGACACATGGGAAAATCAATGCGGAATGTTCAATCTTATACTCAATCAGATGGTGCCAATGTGGCCTAATTTTTTAGAACGACACGAGTACAATGTTGTATCAGTTCGAGGGCAAATCTTCATTTTAGGTGGAATTAATAATGATTATTCCTCCTCACGCGTAGTTGAACGTTACGATCCAGTTGAAAACGAATGGGATACCATAGTCCCTATTGACGGGATGACGGCTGTTACAAAAGCAGTTGGCTTGCAGGGGAGAATATATGCGTTTGGCCACAATATCACTCCAGAAGGATTGATCATGGTTGCTCAAGTTTACGATTTAGATTTCGAAATTTGGATGCCCATATCTCCGCCAAGAACATTTCGAAAGCATTTTGCCATAGCCGCAACCGAAGGTAAGATCTTTCTCATTGGTGGCACCAACGATGCTAACTTATTGACCAGCGTCGAGATTTATGACACTTTTTTGGACTCGTGGAGCTGCTTGCCAGATATGCCATATTCTTACAGTCAACCAAAAGCTATATTATTAAATGGAAAGATGATTGTCTATGAGAATATCGACAGACGATACAAAGTTATCAACCCTCCGATCTACTGGAGTTTCCGGAAACGCCACTGGAAAGTATTCCGTACTTCATCACCGTACGCTCAGGTAGAAAGATACAACTTTTGCTCACTGAGCAATTCTCATACAGTTCGAGATGTTGTTCGCCAAAGTAGAACACAAGAACATGAGTGGGAAAACAGTTCATTAATTTAAACGTAAATTTGAAAACGGTTATGGTAAAAATTATTGAAAAGATGCATAATTTTTAAGTTTATGAATAAGAATATTTTAATACTTTGAATAAATAGTTTGAAAGTTAGAGTGTACTTACTTTAACTACATCCCTCATTTAGGTAACATTGCGAGTGCTTTTAAATTGGAAGTCTTGGTAGAGTCCTCCAACAGTTGAAATTCGTGCGTTCGTAAAGTATTCCTGTTCGAATACATCATTCAGAAACTTTAATATACTGACTAATAGTGAGAATTACATAATATGTATATAAAGGTTAGCTGAATAACGTTCTGAACAGTTCCTCGTAGGGGTTAAAAATTAAATTGATATTGATTAACACTACGAGATCAACCCTTATAAAGACAGATACTGATACAATTAATTTAGCTAAACTAATTCTTTTTTTTTCATTTATTATAATTTGTTGCCCTTCTTCTGTCTTTACATTATTATATTAAGCAGAACATGTTTTAAAAAGTACATCTCATCGAAATAAAGATTAACTATATTCAGTTTAATTTACAGCAATACTATTTACAATTCGAGGCCTACCATTGTCACTAGTTAAATATTACCATAATATACAATTTCTTCCGGTACTTATCCATTTCAGTAAACCTTAAAAAGCCTATTACCACAATATCTACAGTTGGTATCTTGGTACTAAAATAAGTGTATTTATCATCAATGAATACCCGGATTAACATAATATCAATGGCAAATATTACCAAAATTAAGCATTAGTAGAGTTTATAGAAATATGGCGATATTCTTATGGTGGTTCGTCTAAACGAACTGGTGAATTAGTACCTTTCCCCTATATTATTAAACTATTATTGCAAATTATTTTTAAATTTCAATTTGTACCTATTTTAAAAATTAATTAAGCACAATTGGTACCAACATGAATAGGTCAAATTTTCACGGTTCTCATAAATAAATGAGTACCATTTCTTTTCTCCATTAATTTATAACTTTATTTTATTTCAGTTCGTACCTTATTACTTTGAGTAAAATTAACTGATTGTTGTTAACGAAAATATTTAGTAACGATAATATTTTTATAATCTTGCTTGTTTATTAATTAATAACGGTACTGTTAAAAGATTTAAAAAAAAGCTAGAACATTTTTGACTCAAGTGAGGCTTAATTAAATGTTGTATTAAAAACTGTACTGGTATTGCCGTTATAGGTGCCGTGGTAATGAGAACTTATTATATCAATATTAAGGCATAATAAAAATCCTTTGACAACAGGATAATACCACCCTCCAAAACTGATAAGCAGCCTGATATGACCATACTGCATATTCATGGTCCTAATACACAACAATTATTTTTTGTTTTTCTTTTTTTTCGTATATTCTGGTACGGCTTTATACTATTAGATTTAAAATAATATGTGTAAGAAGTTCAATGCACATGCAGAAAACTTACTATACATATAGTATCATTTAATTTGTGATATTCAAAATTTACGACAATTTTTTAATTTCTTAATCGATAACTTTAATTTCATTTTATTAATTCGTGTTGATTTTCCATTTTTTAAGTGTATGGAGTCTCGCTGTAAAGGTTTAAACATAGTAAACGATAATGTCACCAGCATTAGTCACGATATTACTAACTTGCTTTTTACTTGTGGTTACTTAACATAAGAGCCTACAAAAGAGGGATAAAATATTTTTTGATAGATTAGAATTTAAAGCTAGCAAATCACTCATATTTTATAATAAAACCAAATCCAATAGAAAACTCTTTGGAACATAGCATGCGAACACGTGGTTGGAGGGAGTTTCAAATAAACAGATAGCCGCCTCTTTGAATGCATATATTCCAAATTTGAGGAGGTTTGATTCAGAATTGTGAGATACATACATTGATGACTCTACAAAAACATAACAATATTATATCCCACTGAATTATCACAAAAATGGAAAGTCAATTTTTACTCATGTATTTCCATGCACATACAAAAGTTTAATTATTTAAAATTTCATATTTTTTTAAAGTCACTCTCCTGGTCTACCCGAAACGTTTTCAAAAATATATTTAATTTGTGTATAAATTTTACGTCAACATTTCAATTACTAAAGCAGTATTAGTAGCTTATCTAGAAAGTGTAAAATAATCTATTCTAGAAAGTTTTTAAATGTGTTTAATTATTCAATTCATCGTGTCGTTTTTCTCACGGTTTTTGATGTCACTCCCCTGGCTCATGGAACTTATAATTATTATTTTTTGTAAAATAAAGAGAATTTTAATTTTGTGCCTTCAACATCTGTTTATTTCTACCATTCGGTTGGTGTGATTGAGTGCATAGCAAATTTGATTCAACTGATATTTCTATACAGCTTTGAAGCTCTGAACTGATGCCTTTAACATTCTCTTCCATCATACTCCTGTACAATGCACCGGGAAAAAAACAGACCATCCTGAATAACTTTTCGTCCAATGATTGATCTTCACTTTCTAGGACTTATTCTTGATGGTTCGAGGGGATGATCCAAATTATGCTAATTAATTAATGCAAACGATATTTTAAGTTACGAAATCAGACATGAAAACATACTTTCTCTACATTATACTTTTTTTACGGATTCGAATTGACTCCCAAAATGGACGAAGTAGTCGCAATATATATATATATATATATATATATATATATATATATCATTGTTATTTTTGCAACCACCAGCGAGAGTAGGGTACGTGGCTACAAATTTTGAAAACAAAGAGGAAATTATAAAAATCTCGGGTGTGTGAGGAGGAACAAGCCAAATAATTTGACACGAAATGCTTTGTTTGTAACTTTTCTCTGCACTTAAGGCTTTTCATCGCACTCTTTTCATGTTATTGGTCACGAGAAATGACGACGCTTGACAAAAGCTGATTGTCTCAATTTCTTATGCTAATAAAATATTATCCCAACTCCATCTTAGATGTTCTTCTTTAAAGATTACATTTCATTGCCATCTTGAAATTCCTTGTCCGTAACTGTGACTGCAAGAGTTACGGAATTGATTTTAACACCATTCTTTAGTTCTTTAGTCTTAGAAAAATTTAGATCAAAATACGAGTTCCTGTGTGCTCTATCCACCAAACGAACGAATTTAAAGTGCCTTCATCTTAGGGCAAAATATTATTATAGGTAAAAAGGAATAAGGGGAAATGTTATACGATCTAGCTAGTTATATATACAAATATAATCAATTCTTAAGATATCATTTTATTTTAATTTTACTTACGCGAACTAGAAAGAGTTTAATAACTAAATTTGAATATGGCTGCTACTGAATTTTCATGTTTTGTAGAAGGAAAAAAAATTATGGCTTACTATATTAACAAACCAAACCAATATAACCAAAGTTTCACTGAGAGGATAACACTCATCTTTGAGTGTTATCCTCTAGGTCGGTTACTATTGGTCTTACTATATTAAAACAAAGAGTCTCAAATTCCAATTCAATATTTATTAAAACACATTGATTTATTACTCTTAAACAAAAAACTTTATAAATGTCAATGCAAGTAAAAATCCATTTTAAATAAAGATTAATCAATCTTGATAAAAAAATTTCTTTAGTTCTTTTCAGATTTATTACATTGCTTAAACGACGTAAGAACTTGAAAAAATGGGTTATATTAAATCATACTCTCTCATTTCTGAATTTGAAAATGCATTAAAAATTTGAACATTGAATTTAATATTAGTTCCCTCTTAAATCATCTTATAATTCATACTATTTCTTATAAAACTCATATATAATCAATTTGCGGGAAAATATTTGAATTCCCCTGTTATCTTAAAGGATATATATTACTATTATGTAATCGAATATATTCTGAGCAAAAGAAACAGTACATGAGGAGAGCAATGATAATTTACCAAGGGAATTTTCAATAAAAAGTATTTATTTAACTGTTCAAAAGCAAAATTCTTTAAAGATATTTATAATTTAAAATTGATATGATTTTTAAATTGTCTTTGAAGGAAACTAATTTAATTTAAAAATATAAAACCTTCTTTTTTTTGTTAAAAGTTTAACAAACGGTTACGGATAAAATTTAACAAGCGTTGTATACTTATCAATAAAGGAAATAAAAATTATTTTTAAACTAGTTTAAAACTAGAAAATAGTTAATTTTTAAATTTTGGATCTAAGATAAAGTAGTTTATAATATTGATTTTGATTCATTTAACGAAAATTCTATGTTTAAAATTTCGGAATAAATATGTTGGAGAATGAGTCGTTTTACAATTTTTAATTCAAAATATTGAAGTATATGTAAAATAATACACTATATTTGTTATTAATGAGTATATTATTTGTTATTAAAATACATATGCATATGACAATTTAAATATTTACTAAATGCACAATGGTTTCAACTGAATAAAATGCAGAACAAGAGCGTTACTTGCTGAGTATTCAATAGCTTAGTTCCTACCATGAAATATAATATTTTTTTTCGTTCATTTAATATCTTTGTATCACAAATCAATGTATTAAAAAAGTAGCATGTTTAGGTGTTTGTGTGTCCGTATGTTAGTTAATATGTATGTGTGTTTAGTGATTTTCCAGAACTTTGACATTTCCTACTTTGAAAATCTAAAACAGTAATTCACTCTTACTATTTATAACGGGAGAAAAATAATGACAACTAATCTAAACGAGGTTGGCTAGTTAGTTAATCTTTTAGCTCAGAAAATGTTCGGAGAGTGAAATTTTTGCATATCAGGAAGTGCGAACTACTAAGTTCCAAATGCATATTTAAGCCTAAGAAATTTCTATTAAAATCATTACCTTATTACGCTTTATAATATGTATCAATAATTAAAAAAAAGTTTTCCTTCATAATAAAGTTGTTGCATACATACCAATTTTGAGCCAATCTGGGGCCTAAGTAAAATCGCTGATAGAGATGTGATAAAGGAAATTATCAATCATATCATACTGTACCGTATATATATATAGGA